CAAAACTATTGAAACTTGTATTCTACAGAAAGAGGTAAAGTGGTCGTTCAACCCACCCACAGCATCACAAATGGGAGGGTATAGAAAAGACAGATTCGCAGTGTTTAGAACGATCATGTACAAACAGTCTAGTTCAGCAACAGACTTTAGATGAAGAAGGCCTTACCACTCATGTGTCGTTGAAAGTATCATTAATAGCCGCCCCATTACCAAGCTGTTGCCTGACCCAAATGATGACAACCCATTGTCACCTAACCACTTACTTTTGATCGGAAGTGGACCAGATTACCACCAGGGTCATTTGTTCAAGATTTATATCAAAGATGCTGGCATCAAATACAATATATTGCAGACATCTTTTGGAAAAGGTGGTTAAAAGAATATTTGCCGATGTTGCAACAGAGACAGAAGTGGATGTTGGAGAAGAGGGACCTGGTGATCTAATTCTTGTCGTTGACAGAACCACTCCACGGTACCAGTTGCCACTTGCACTGGTACTTGACGTAAACGAAGGTAGTGACGGTCATGTTAGCAGTTAAAATTAAAATGAAAGGTAACATTCACAAGAGACATATAACCAAATTATGTTTACTCGAAGGGGTAGATTAAGTATTTTTTTTAAGTTAACCTTGTATTTACATTGCTTGTCATATTTACTTTTATTTTGTTTTGCATTTAAGTTGTTAAACTCAGTCTCAAAGTCAAGTAAGTTGAAAGAATTTATGTGTTTTTTGGACCTTGGCTCACCTCTGCATACCTACAGTAAGTGTTTACTACACTATATTGTACATATTATGTTAAACTGATAAATGCAAAATATGCTATTTTTAAAAATATCAACTATTTAATAATAATGATAATATTTCATAACTAATGTACTGACTATTGGTTTAATGAGCTTTTAATGGTCATTTTAAGTCGACAAAAATCTTAACTATTTAATATTAAAAAAATAACGCTAAAAAAAGATCGATGTTTCGACTCCTTCATGGTGTCTTTTTCAAGATCAAATGATGAAGTATAGAATATACAGCAACTTATAATCAATAGAAAAAAGCTAATCTACAAATGTCAGAGTTCATAACAGTGGGATATTCCCCTGAGTGTTAGATACAGTAAAGAGCTTTGCTTAATCTTAACTTTCTTTTCTTTTTTTAAAATTATTGTTTATCCTTGGGGACTGCTCAGGGATAAAATCCCCGGTCCTCCACAGATCCATTGTTATTCATTTGTATTTTAGTCACCAGCACGGAAAATCAGCGTTGTTCGCAATAAGCATCAATTGTACATAAATTGTATATACAATATTGTACATTGTAGACGTCGTCTCTTCTGTCTGCGTCGATTGACTACACGTGCCACCAAGCGGATGTGAAGTGTCCCTTACAATACTGTTGAAGTGTATCCTTCAGTGAAAAGATGAATGATCCACGTCAGTAAGCAGCACCCTCAAACTTTGTAGTTTTAGGTCCCAATACAGCTTCCAATGTTGATTTGTATTCTTGGTCATGGTGTTAGCTTTCTCCATATGGTATTTCCCATGACATGAGGCTGACTGAAAGGTTCATTGCACAGCTAGTCACAATGTAATTTTTCCTGCACACTCTAAATCCTATTGTGATATGATATCAATCCTTCCTGGCAGCAAAATATTGAAGAAAAATGAACAATGTATATAAAGTTAAGTTGAATAGCCATAATTACAGAGCATAACACTCATCAAGTCCTTGTTGAGCCATATTTATCCTTGGCAATTGCAATAGTTTCAGCATCTTCGCAATTCTATGCTTCCTAATATGGCTGTTCAGTCTATTTTACCTCGATATTAATAACATTAAAGTTCAGTTTGTCCATAAGTTCATTAACCTTGGTTTGAAGTTCCTCCACAACATCTGCCGTGACAAACAGATGCGTTTCATCAAGATCAGCAACAACAAAGCGTTTTTTAAGAATTTCTTTTGCATCCAAATGTAGTAAAAACTGCTTCATTGTTGGGTCACTAGGAAAAGATAAGTTAAAAAAATGATTTTTTATTTCTCATCATCATCCTCCACCTAATAAAATCTTTTCATTGGTGCAAGTTGTTTGTGTTTAAACTTCTACTGATTGAAAGAAATGTAGGCCTAACATTATTTTTCGTATAATATCAAATGACAAGGATCTACTTTAGGTGTGTTATTCAGATTCAGATTTTATTTTGTCCAAAAGGAAATTGCACTTGGACTACAGTAGTTTTGAAAAAATACATAGCAGAAAAAAACATTACAAACACTAAAATACAACAATTAAACAGTATCCAGGAATGTACTTCAGTTTAAATTCTATATCTACATTTATTTACTGGCAGCTATTAAAACTTCTAATGGAGAATGGAACAAATGAATTATGATAATTTGAATTTAATGGTTTGTATTGCAGGCAATAGATTTTAACCTCTTACCAGATGGCAACAACATTGATAAAGATTGTTTAAAATGATAAGTAATATCATTCATTATATATTTCATTTTATCTACTATTCTTTTCACGCAAATTTTAGGTACAGTAAACAAAAGCTACAATTGACCAATAACCTAAGCTTGGTAATCACAACCAATTAAAAGTTAATATAGCACAACGAAGATTAAGTTTATATTCTAATTTTAGTAAGTCTAAAATAGTCTAAAAAAAAAGTCTAAAATAGTATGTAAATTTATAATATATATATATATATATATATATATAGGCTATACACGTGTTGTAGGGTACTCTTGTCTAGCCATATAGCAGACCACCTAGTGATTATGATACATACGAGCGCGACCATACCGTCTTGATTCCCAGGTCCGTACTCTCTAATAATGCCATGGCTTCTCCAGGCTCAAGGCCTAGCCTAGGCTTGCAAGGAAGTCTAAAATAGTAAGTGGGGGTCTAGGCTTCTGTACGCATAGCCTAGACAGGCATTTCACCACACATTGTTACTTACCATTCAACCAAAACTCCTTTAGTCACGTTAACCATGTTTTAAAATCAACATGAATTACCATCAAACCAACATTCTACACAGTCTACAGTAACTCTTAGCAAAGAATATTTTTGCTCTAATAAGTACACTCTATCAAAAGAACAACTCGAGCGTGTCACGCTTCCGTGATGGCGCTATGACATTTCTACGAAGACCCAAGGGGACATGATAAAAACAATTGTATCACGTACGTACGTATTCACGTACGTACTACGTGATAATTATCACGTATGTACGTGATAGTAATACGTACGTACGTACGTATTAATAATACGTACGTACGTGATAGTAATACGTACGTACGTGATAATAATACGTACGTACGCATGGTATAATTAGTAATACGTACGTACGTGATAATTATCACGTACGTACGTGATAATTTTTTTTTTATCATGTCCCTTCTTGAGTCTTCGTACATTTCAAACAGCCAGGCAAAACAAGTTGCTGCTGTTGTACGTGGCATTTTTTCACCGTTTACAATTTATATTGTACTCCTCATTTAAAATCCATGAAAAAATTGAAAACTTACGTTACAGTCCAGGCCAGCTTTTCCCTGAATATGCAGTTAAAAAAAACATTTACTAGCAATTGCAGCCTCCGCATAAACGTCATGGACTCCCTCAAAAATATAATTCAGTTTTATAACTCACTAAATATTGCACTGTGTGTGAGGGGTATGCTGACGAAAATGTTGTTTTGTGCTACAGATAAATAATGTAGTATTATATATATGATCTATGTTCTTTGTGATGTTTTATATATTTTCATGTTGTTTAATGAATTATCTCCAAGATGGAATTAAACAGTTTATAATTAAATTTTATGTTAGCTCTTGACTTTCTTATTTTCGCTTTTCGTTTTTCAATATCGGCAAAAAATGAATCAGGCACACAAGCTGAGTATAATATATATCAAATCAATTAAAATAAAACTTTCTTTTAACTTTATTAATCCACTTTATTACCCTTGAAAAATGTCAAACATATAAAAGTGTCATGATGAAATCCAAGTCCAATAAATGCTATGCAACACATATTGGTCATTCTTATTCCATGTTACAATACATTTGATTTATTGATATTTATTAAAAAATTATTAAGGCACAGAACAAGCAGTAGCAGTAAATTACTGAACTGAAGCTTGTTGTAGGGACATAATACGTTGCTTATAGCCACGAAAGACTTAGAAAATGTAGTTCATAGATAATAATAATAATAATAGTGTAGTTTTATATAGCGCACATATCCATCTAATGTAAGATGCTCAGGGCGCTTGATATGTGGACTAGGAACTCGATCAATGACTTTCTTCTCCCCTAAGGGTCCCTTCGTGTCTGTGCTACCCGGTAACCCGGTACCAGCAACTCTCGTCGTCCACCACAGGGGCTGTCTGTTCCAGTACACCAGGGTATCCCCCTACTTGTCTCGAAGGATGTACTGGGTTCTTTATAGTGCACACGAGCCATTGTATACACTGGGCCTACAGTTTATAGTCCTTATCTACCACCAGAACCATAGGCGAGCGTGCCATTCGAACCAGCACCGATATTATGGCTATAGCTTGCGGCGCCCCTGCTAATCGCTCGGCCATTTGACTCACCAAATAGAGTGCCTTGAAGCATCAGCATTAGTATTAATACAACATTTGAGGATTGCCTTTGTCTTATTAAGTGGACATTTTTGTCCATGCACACACTTTTGTCTTCGAATCCTCTTAAATAAATTGCCATCTATTATGTCAATACATAATACTACTCACCTCACCTATATTTTTTTTTCCATTAACAAACAATAAATAAATTAATTAATAATTTAGTGTCAAGGCCAAGTGTTATACTATAGTGCTCCACTATAATCTGAAGGCACCATCAATACAGTATGTTTGATCTGATTAATTTACTAATACAAAACCATCAACAAGATTTAAAATACCAGATTTATGTAACCACATAATAAGCATTAACTTATTTGAAACAGATAGACACTAAATCTGGTTACAGTGGTGGTAGTTGCTATTTCCTTTTTATTTTCTACAGCAATAAACAAGCGATACAAAAGTCACTTTGATAGCACAAACTCAAGATCCGTTAATAAAGAAAAAAAATGCTCTGCATGAAATGTAAAAATCACTTCTTTAACACTCTGCCCGACAAATACGGAGACCTCAGTGTTTGGTAACGCAACGCTTGACCGCCAAACACAGAGATCTCTGTGTTTCAGGTTTTTTTACGGAATCCGATAGATGGGGTAATTACCGACATGTACTAACAATTTGAACACTATATACCGTAAGTATTTCACTATTTGTTTTTTTACATTAGGGTAAAGTGGTATTGATTTACTTTCACGAAATTGCGATTATCAGCTTCGTTGAGCGAAACTGTGTAAATCTCCAAAAGTGAATCATTTTCATTTTACTGTTACGAGTCACAAATTGTAATTAGAATAAAGTGTTTGGTACCATTGTAAAGCTAAAATGTTTGTAGTTCTTGTAGTATTCATTAAATCACATTCTGATCAAATCCACACTCTGAACGAGCTCGGAAAACTGTAAAAATTTGCTAAAAATTCTGGCGGTGGCTGATAATACTTTTTCAAACCCCTGGCGGTCCGATTGTTAAAAATACTTGTAAAATAAAAAAACAGGTACAGTTGAATTTGCCCAATCCAAAAGGCCACTGGAAAATTGTTCGACTTCGATAAAATTTGACTTACAGATTGTTAATTAATGGAAAACACAACAATTTGACATGTAAAATAAGTTTGACTTAGAAATTATTTGACTTAGGCAAGCTTAACTGTATTTACATAGTAGATGACTTGTAATCTACTCAGTAGATTGCAACAGTGAGCATGTTCTCCTAGATGTAAATGATACAATATGTACACCAACTTTATACAGTATTTCTTAAATGGTAAATGTCATCTTAACAGACACAATTTTGATATATCTCATCTGAATGCATTAGGCTTATACTACAACATAATGGTAAACAATCTATCCATAATATAGGCCAATAAAATTTACAGAAGACACTGTCTTCTTCAGAAGACATATTTTTTCACAATAAAATAGTACTGTGCAGTAAATTACTTACTGAAATTTGTCACTGATTAAAAACTTGCTATAAACCAAGATGCAATTGCTACCAAATTATGTATACAGTTTATAGTCAGCCCTTTCGGAAAGATTTTGTTTATACCTTGTATTGTTTCGCAAGCCCACTGCCTGTCAATAATTATGATTTTGATAGAATTAAAATTATATTTTTGGCCTGTTAGCACACCATCGGCTGCAAGAATGTAAGAATTACTTAAATTTATGGTTCCTTGTAGCTGCCTTTAGATCTCCAATAACAAGAAATCTATTTTTCTTTCTAAAATATATAAATATAAAGCATCTATCAATTTGGTAAAAGAACACTCATTCTCTATGACTGTGCGATAGGACTTAAATTGAGGGACGAAAATGCGTTCTCTATCACTTCCTGGTACATTAGTTTCTTTATCAATAAAGTTTTAGTTTTATGTTCTCCTCCACCTACTGTTGATGCGTTTGATGGACAAAATAATTTTCCGGACAAATGAAAACATTATTCATATTTTTTTCCAGTCCTCCACTCAGAATCATTCAAAAATAAAGTTTGCTGAACAAGGTATAAAGAAAGTCTTTACTTTATGACTTTAGAGTTATTTGTACCGTAACTTAATATTATCTGTCCCACGTTCATAACAAAGATTCTAGTGTTTGCTTAACCTCCCCAAAAAGTGATGGTTCTAAGAACAGGATTGATCGCGAGATGAAAAGCTGGCGTAGTTCTGCATCATAGCGCCACAGATGTATTGCATCACCTACAGTACAAGAAAAGCATATTATAAAACACGTAGTAACAGGGTATAAAGAACGCTTTAAAGTAGATCAAAGATCTTATAATAACAAGATAGCGTTCTTTGCGATTTCTGCGTGCAAATTCTGTAATAATGCAGTGTAGGACGCTCTCTTGCAATTACAATTACTTTTGAACTTTGACATCTATGATCTCAGTGAAAATTCTGGAACAACCACCATAGTTACAGCTAGCACGCCCTCTTTCAATTACAATTACTTTCTATTGTTATCTGCGTGAATTGGACGCTTCTATTTGTTACAGGCAAAACGCGGACAACGTTATCTTGTTATAAGATCTTTGAAGTAGATGCATATAGATTTGAGAGGGCACTTTTCATCTTGCCTTTTTAATTTTTCTTATTGACATCATATTCTCTCTTTGACATAATTTTTTTGTGCGTGTTATATTATATTGTATATTTATTTGATGTTGACTTCTAATTGATGGTTTCATATTTGTTAGTTGGTATGAAAATGAAAATAAAAAATAACGCCATTTTTATCTAGATATCTTTAAATATCTTTTAAATGGATAGCCTTATGTCTCAATTCCATTTCTAAAAAATATTGAATGTTTCATCAAGAAATTTTTTTTTGAATGGGAAGGGAGGGTCTGGTATAATTTCAATTGGTCTTTCTACTTACATTCAATTATACTATACAGTACCGTACTCGCACGAATAAGCGCCCGGGCGCTTAAAATATATTTTGCACTTTTTAAAGGGGCGCTTATTCAAACGGGGCGCTTATTCGAACGTGGCGCTTATGAAAACAGAGTGGAAATTGAGGGGCGCTTATGGAAATAGATGAAAATCGAGGGGTTCTTATGAGAACTTATTAAATTCAAGAGGCACATTTTTAATGAAAAACGATTATATAAGGACATCAGGAAACCGCAAATTACGAATGGTCGTGCGACGGAAAAGATAATCGTCCAGAGAGCATGGCTTGTCATGACAAGAATGTTGTGAGTACAGACTGTATTACATTACACAAGAGCAGAATAGCGGATGAAATTAGTGGTGGTGGTTAGCTTGTTGGCCATCGGCCGATTGAGAATAGCAGGCATGATCATTGCAGGTTTTCTTGAAAACTTAGATGAGAATGTGTTGAAGATGCAAATTGTTGGAAAAGGAGTAGGACTAGGCTATAGGCAAATGTAAGAAGATGAAAGTTGGAAATATACTGTCTGTCCAGGGAGCTCTCATCTGTCCAAGATAAATATCCTCATTTTGATATCGACTAAATGAGGGGGGGCGTTTATTCAAATTAGAAGGGGGCGCTTATTCATACGGGGTGCTTAAGGAAATTTTCACGTTAGGAAGGGGCGCTTATTCGAGAAGGGCGCTTATTCAAAGAGTATAGTATCTAAATTTTTGTCTTTATTGTCATATAGATCTAATTTGTAGATTTAAAATTATGTTGGAGAGGGGGAAAGAGTATGGGAAACATAAGGAGTTAAATCTGACCCTTCCGAGGTTCTGCATTCAGTCGCTGCAAAGTGTAATATATTAACTGTGTATTACCTTGTTGAGTACTCTGGTATGTTCCGCTAGCATTGGCTATGAAAAAAACCCCATTACTAATGCTGATCTGTTCAATGTTCATCAAATTGATCATAACATCTTCCTGTAGGGGTAGGAATAATGTCTCACCCTTTGGAAGGAAGTTCTCTGAGTGGAATACCTCTACTCCTCCCTTGATAAACAAAAATTGTTTACCTGCAAAAAGGAAAATAATATTAATCAATAAACTACCATTCGTAATTATTATCTTATCTTATGTTAACTGAACGTTATTCTTAGAGGGACTAAAGCTTGATTTCATTCGATAAGAGAGTAATAACCTATTCGGACTACACTCTGTTGCGATGTAATTGGTGGTAATTCAAAACTGATTACTCCTGATCACAATCAACAAGCGTATTCAGAACACAAAACAACTTTACATTCTAGAGCCTAGGCCTACGGTTGGCTGACCTCAGCCAAACAGTGCCTGTGGAATTTGTTATGATCGGATTCCATGGTAATCCAATGCAACGGGTAACAATTGCAATACTAATTAATTATCAACTACTATTGGGGAGCTTTCACACATGATTTTACTTTGCGATTTTCTGCAATTGGGTGTCGCAATTGCTACAACTGATCGCAATGCGATGCTAGTCTGAATGGGGTATAAGTAAAAAAACAAGCAGCACCTGTGAAATATAATATTAAATATGTTAGAATTATTGAAATGCACTGGGTAATTAGATAAATCTTAATCAATACATTAAATGTCAAATAATCTGATAACTAATGAATTTAATAGTTTTGGTTTAACTGCAAGTGTACAAACAAAAAATGATACCTCTACTCATTGTATTCTTTTGTGGACTTCGACGTTTACTCTCACTTCCTTCCATTGGGTCGAGACATCTTCGTTTCAAATGATTTGTGTTTCCATTTCGGATTGCTCCATGCAAGGCAGTAGAGCTACTTGAGTGATTGTGCATAGGATTTGTCAAGCTGAAGCCAGAGTTTTGAAAAGGACTACCGGGTACCTGCATCTCTTTTCTCAATACAAGAACAATACAATAAAATGCAAATTACACTGTAATCTGTAAACACGCACAGACACCTACTGGCTGTGAATCATTCAAGTGAATTGTCCTACATGATCTTGATCTGTAAATAAACAAGGTCATAAGACATGTAAGCAAAAACCCAATGTCAATGAATATAAATGATGAAAAGACTGCATTAAAGGCAATGTCAGTATTGGTAAGAAATACAATTATATTTTGTGACTGGAGACCATTAAATTTAGGGGCCCCCACTTTGGGGCCCCTAAGGGCCACCAGAGGGCCCATACAGGTGTTACACCACTGATTGTATAAGTCATTAAGTGGAATACCACAGGATAGCGTTGTTGGTCCGATTTTGTTTTCTTTATTTATTAATGATTTGCCAAATTTTACCCATTCACATATTCGCTTGTTTGCCGACGATATGAAAATTTAAAATGTGGTAAACGATGTGGAGGATGCTGATGCATTTCAATGGGACATTGATAGAGCATTTCATTGGTCTAGAACTTGGCAGTTACCATTTAATGGCTCAAAGTGCAAAGTAGTCCATTATGGTAGAAAGAATCCTAGGTGCTTATACCATATGGCAGGTAATTTGTTAGGTGTTGTTGAGTATGAAAAAGACTTAGGGGTTACTTTTGATTCTAGTTTGGTCTTTAAATTGCATGTTGCAGATACAGTATATCTAAAAGAGCTAACAAGAAACTAGAGAAACTAGGAATGATTTATAGATCTTTCAAATTTCTTGATAAGGAGAGTTTCTTGAAATTATACAAATCAATAGTCAGACCAACTTTGGATTATTGCAATTCTGTTTATAATCGTATTAGTAAGCAGGATCAAAACTTATGAAAGAAATTTCAACAGCGGGCCACAAGATTGATTCTTGGATTTCGTGATATTCCACATGAACATCGGTTGAAAATACTTGGTCTCCCAACTTTGATCTATCAACGACAAAGAGCGGATATGGTTCAAGTCTTTAAAATAATTAAGGGGTTCAAGTGATGTGTTTTTTTAATTTGACTGGGATTAAAGATGTATTGTCCCTTGCTAATGTCAAAATCATAAAAAATAATTTTGAAATAAACTTGCTCATATTGAAATAGCATACAAATTATTAACCTGTGCATAAAAAATATTGAATTTAAAAAATATGTACCCTGATTTTTAAACCAAAAAAATATAATATTTAATAAAACACTTCCAGTGGACTGGAAGTGTTTCTGTCATTTTTCGCTGTAAACTGATGGGTAGACATTTTTAAATACACTAATTTCTATGTTCAAGTTGATAACATTTATGTCACTTCAAAATAGGCAAGTTAATTTCAAAAAATATTTTTATGATTTTTTTGGTACAGTATTTAGCATGGGACAATACATCTTTAACGGACAAGGGTCATCAATACAAGATGAAATTTAGTCGTTCTAGGATTAATGTTAAGGGGAATACGTTTTCTAAAAGAGTGGTCATGCTGTGGAATGCACTTCCCAGTGAAGCAGTATTATGTTCCTCTATTAATGCTTTAAAATCAAGGCTCAATGAGGCGTGGTCCAACCATCCACTGACTGAAGTTGGACCGTATGCCAAATAGTGACTTTATTTACAAGAGGGGCTTTTAAGAACTGAGTGCTTTACTTCGGTCCAGCAGGTATCTACGGGAAACCAGTAAACCAGTAATAAAAGTACTGAGGATGCAAACAAGATTATTCTTCAAAAATTCAATATTTCTCACTATAAATAAAATAAAAAAATAAAGTTTTGTTGTACTATTGTAGTTGTAGCCAGTAATTATATGGATACCTATTTACTACAATACAATACATTCAGTACAGTACTACAACGATTAACGCCCAAAATGGGTCAGACAAACGAAGTGCCGTATAATAAGCCCAATAATCCAATCCAGGCACCTCCGAGTCCATGGCCTGCCAATTCTTCCCTTTTTCTTTCTAGCATAATTAGTAGCAGGCTCACACACTCTTCACACCGACTAGCAACTCCCTCGGTCCCACCATCCTATAGATTACATAAAATCTAGATCCTGGGGATCAAATACAAAAAGAAAATGTTATGAATACATACCAGACATACATACCTTACAGTTACACTAGGTTAACTTACAAGAAGCCCAACACAACATCGATTAAAGTTCTGTTGTACACATCTTGTTTTGAAAACAACAAACTGGGAGCAAAGTTCATTTGCGTTTTAATAACAAAAAGGTCAACTTCCACACATGCGCAAATGAATATTTGCGGTAGTTGTTGGCTTACCTTTGCTAGCTACATCATCATCATCACCTGCTGACGGGGAAGTGCATAAATTACATTGTTGAAAAATCTGTCTATTAATTTTTATTTGATATAAATACTTGCTGGTATATATTATTCAAAATGTCTGTGTCAGCCGTGTTCTTTTTGGATATGAAAGGAAAGGTAAAGAGGGCAATATTACAAATTTTAGGCGATTTTACGATTCTAGGCTAGGCCTAGCCTAGCGAATACATCTCATCCGTCGTGACTAGCCTAGCTAGGTCCTAGCTAGGCTAGTCACGGCGGATGAGATGGGGACCGAGCAATGTGGCTTAGGAGGAGAATGAGAGCCGCTCGTATGTGAAGAAGAGGGCGTGTAGGCCTATGGGTGCGTTCCAGACGCTAGGCCTAGCATTTGTACCAGAACCCGGGCAACATTGGCGCTAATGCACTTTTGCACCTAAATTTTAATTCTTAATTTTAAGTTAAGAAGAATTAAAAGTTAGGTGCGAAGGTACATTAGCGCCGTAATATCCGTAGGCCTAGTGTATTTGTAAGATTTTTTACAAAAATTGTTTAAAAAAAACGCACAAAAAAGTAATTGCCCAACACCCCAACCCACTGCACCATGATTTAAAAAATAAACCCCAAATTAATAATAGGAAGTGGATATATACTGCATAAATATATATATTAAGGAATACCAGTCAAGTCGCCCCCTTACAAAGTCGCCCCTTACAAAGTCTCCCCCTAACCAAGTCGCCCCCGTCAAGTCGCGCCCCCCCCCCAGCAAAGTCGCCCCCTAACCAAGTCGCCCCCTTGACTAATATTGAATATTATTATCAACTAACCTTTGAAACTTATTTAGAACTTATCTAGGCCAAGGAGAGATGCCTACCGCAGCGTGAAAAAGGCCTACCCTGTATGTAATACCATACTGGAAAGTATTTTAATTATGCGGATGATACATCAGAAGCTAGCTAAAATTTTGCGGAAAATCGATAGGAAAATAGGTGCGCATGATTGTAACTACTGCATACATATTATATTACTTATGTATTTATTTATTTATTTCAAAACCAACAGCGAAAAATCACCACTTACACTTACAGGATGGACATAAAATATATACTGTAATATAAACTCTAAAAATACAGAAATACAGGCAGGACAATCAAAAGTACATTCCTAACTAACTCCTACCCCACCAAAAACAAAGAATCAAGAAACAAACATAGTCACAAAAGCTGCTTAAACCTGAATACTTTTTAAGATGAGGGAAATGTTTAAAACTATTAAAAAAGATATCAATGCTACTATTTTCAGAAACAATACGGTTGTAAGAACAAGGTATATATAGAAATAAAACTCCGTTCTTTATATGAAGAGATCAGTCAAGGTCTAATTTTTGCAAAATCTGTGTTGAAGTCCGCCCTTATATTTAAAATGTGCATCAAATTTCTAGGATATTTTTGGATATATTCCCTGTGCAGGCTTTATTTACGATCTGGATGGAATATACATCATAATAACTGACCTTTGATTTGCCAATTGAGGCAAACAGTAATCATCCAGATAATACCCTTTCTAGCTTACCCCAGAAAGTCTGCTAATATTCAGAGGCCTTAACATTTCTAAGTCTAATTTTTTGATATATTCCCTGTGCTGGCTTTATTTACAGTCTGGATGGAAAATAAATCATAATACCCTGATCTTTGATTTGCCAAATGAAGCAAACAGTAATCATCCAGGTAATTAATACCCTTTCCAGCTTATCCCAGAAGGTCTGCTTATAGAGATTTTTATTTGCATGTTATGCATTACATTGCTTAAACCATTTGTCATGTAGTCAATAATTTAATTACTATACTGTATTTCAGGTGCTAATTTCCCGAAACTACCGAGGTGATGTGGACATGGGCTGTATTGACAAGTTCTTACCCCTCATTTTGGACATGGAGGATGAAGGCCAGTTAATGCCTATTATCCAACATGGAGAAAATACATTTATGTACATCAAACATTACAATGTCTACTGTATCCTTTTTCGCTCATACTGCCATATTAGATGTATATTGAATATTTTAATTTTAGTATTTATTTTTGTAGAAAGAACTTATTAAAAAAAAAAAATTTATTTTTTTTATTTACCATTTTATTCATTTAATCATACATTACATTCAAAATGAAAATAAACAAAAACAATTAAATAAGTGCCTTTCTTTTCCATACTTAGAGTAGTATACATATAACAACATTGAACATTTTTATAAATTCTTTTACTAGTGAAAATATAATATTGTATTTCATATTCAAAACTTGTACCATTACGTTAGGTGAACTATTTATATACCAGAAGCCAGGGTAAGGCCATTGACTTGAAACATTTAAATATTCATTATTTATTTGAAGCTTTGAAAAAGAACATGCAGTGAAGACCAAAATGAAAAGAATTTCAGGCGGAAATATATATATATGTATCTTGTAATATTATAGTATCTAACAATTTCTCTCTTTATATTTGTTATATATGGCAATACTTTCTGTATACTATTTCTATAGATAATTTCCTTTACTAATATAATAACAACATTTATTATTTTTTCCATTCATTCCAAGTAGTATCAGTTCCTTTGAAAATTGTAATTGTATTTGAAGGTTTTTATTTATCCAGCTTTCCAAACCTTTCCATATCTTAATATATTTTTTCACAATCCCAAAAAATGTGGTCAATTGTTTCAGGAAATTGCTTACAAAAAATACATAATGGTGAATCAATGTACTTTAATCTATAGAGATAATTTCTCATTGATAATATATTATGTATAATTCTATACTGCAACCATTTCAGATCCGTACTCTCTGTGCATTTGATTGGTATTATATTAAACACTTCCCACTGTTTGTCAGTAAACTCACTTTCAAAAAAAAAATTGATATATAGGAAGAATGGATGGATTTTCTTTGGTATAAATACCAAGGATAACCCACAAAAGTTTCAGGAATGCATAGGTAATTCATGAATAATTGCAGTAGTTCATGAATAATCAAATTCTCCATTCACTCAATCAATCAATGAACCAAACAAATAAACAACCACCAATCAATCAGTCAACTGGTAATTGATTATAGTAGGTATCTTCCAAAATTAATTACCTGTGGTGCCTAACATAGTAACTTGAAATAGAATTACACTTAAGAGAAAATAATCTATAGTTCTTTTAATAATAATAATAATAATAATAATAATAATAATATAGTAATAATTATCTGTATTGTTCATACTTCCTTAATGTATTTTAGTGGTTGCAACAACAAGAAAAAATGCAAATGTTGCTCTTGTATTCACAGTCCTTCACAAAATTGTTGAGGTGAGTGAGCATTTTAAATTTTAATGTGTAATATTACAGTACAAATGAACCTGTGTTCCATGCATGTTCCTTCGATTGTTGAGGTGAGCATTTAAATTTTAAGGTATAATATTACAGTACAATTGAACCTGTTACATTGTATTCTATGCGTATTCCTTGATTTGTCTTGTGATTTTAAAATGAAACTATGTGTGCTACTCTACCTATGCCATCACCTATAAACTTAATAATGTTTATGGTTGTAATTTATTTTTAATTTTAATGAATTTAATAGGTATTTGTTGAGTACTTTAGAGAATTAGAAGAAGAAAGCATACGAGATAACTTTGTATTAGTTTATGAACTCCTAGATGAACTCATTGACTTTGGCTATCCTCAAACAACAGATGGAAAAATACTACAAGAGTAAGTGTCTCCTTCAGTCAAATTAAGTAACAACATTCATTGCAATCCATCAGTGTGTTTAAAAAAAGATTTTTAATATGTCCCTTTTTAGTTCCTATGCTTGTAATGCAATAGGAACTATTGTAATCACTCTTGCTATTTCCTATGTTTTTTATTGTGTGTAGTGTGTATGTGTGTGTAGACATTTATGCAAATGCGCATGCGTCAAAGAAAAGTTTTCCGACATTTTGTTTTACATCGCGATGGGAAGATAAATGTGAAGTTTCTGCAGAGTTCAGTCAGAACTCACACTAACCGACCGGAAAGTCGGCATGGATGAAACTATTTTGGTTTACAGCTTCAAAAGGCAGCTTAGCTCCTGTCTCTTATACACATCTAGATGTGTATAAGAGACAGGCTCTGGTTAAAATATATAATTAATGTTTTTATAATTTAGATTTTTTGGGGAAGCCAGTTCCAGTTATTCCCTGTTAGCATAGTAATTTTAATTTGCTTTTTAACTTGATTAGTTAAGTCACTGTCAGATGCAAAAGAAAAAAAAAACCAAAGAGAGAGGAAGAGCCATAGTATAAACTATGCTCTGACATTGGTGATTGGTAAGAATAGCTGACCTTTGTAAAGTCTCTTTATCACCCCATTTCCACAATATACAATATATTTTTCAACAGGTTCATCACACAAGAAGGTCACAAGCTGGAAGCAGCACCAAAGCCCCCAGCTGCTGTAACTAATGCTGTGTCATGGAGAAATGAGGGTGTGAAATATAGAAAGAACGAAGTATTCTTAGATGTTGTTGAATCTGTTAATCTGTTGGTAAGAAATCAAGATCATCTAGTATATACAAACAATAGTAGAGCATTTATATAAATTATGTGGAAAATTAAAATTGAATATATAAAAATGCAAATATCCTTTATAATTTGCAAGTACGTAGAAAATTAAAATCCAATTTGGTTTTATTTATACAGATGGAAGTTTTCTCTTTCTCAAATATTATCCAAGCATAGTACTGTAATTACAGTAACTACATAGAGTCTAAAACTAAAAGGGTTTTGCCTTGAATTTCAGGAGCGATCAGGGGATGAGTATCTAATGACTTATATATGTTATAAAACAGAGTGTGTCGTTATTGTTGTTATTACCAAAGATACTAGAAACACAAGATAGAGTTCCCCACAGAATAAAAACTGTTCCACCAAAATGCTTGGTGGGAATACAAACAATGGGGCGTCGCATACGGCTGGATATAAAAACTTCTGCCAAACTTACATAAACCATAAAGGTGAATACATAACCTCTTTTTGCGGAGGTGGAAATCGTTGCCATTATCCATAAGATACAAACAAGTAGGCATAAATAAACCTAAAGAATAAAATGACAGACACATGTTATTCACCCTTGTAACACTGCCAGTGGAATGTAATTTCTGAGTTTTTCAGACAATAAAATTATCTTGAATCTTGAGAATTGTATAACTAGGCTCTGATTAGTGATAAAGTTTCCGTCCTTAGCGGAAAGTGACGGCCACCACATATGTCTGGATTTACTTAGCAACAGAAGGGCCAAATATAGATAAACTTGCATTATAAAAAGAGAAGGGCACCGCGTACGTCTGAACCAATTTACGCATTTTTGCTATGCGAGTGCTCTACCTTGTGTTCCTAATATCTTTGTTATTACTGCTATTAATATTTCATGTGCTGTTTTCATCAGGTGAGTGCAACTGGGAACGTGATGCGCAGTGAGATTGTTGGAGCCGTTAAGATGCGCGTTTTTCTTAGTGGCATGCCAGAGCTTCGTCTTGGCCTTAATGACAAAGTCCTCTTTGAAGCTACTGGTCGTAAGTTCATTGATCAATTTATGCATGTTCATAATAATTTATTATTTGTAAAATACTTAATTCCTCATCAATCCGACTATTGGAGATGAATGCAAATTGTTAATGTTTATATGTACCTGTATATACTTTTATACACACAGCTTTCTCTGTAGTTGTTTTGTAATTGTGAGCCACCATGCAAGTGAATTATGCCTTTTTTGACTTTGAAACTTTTGCTGATTTGCTACATGTCTAGGTTTTGAACCTCAGCTTCCAGCCAATTGTAAACACCTTCCATCACCTAGTATGTGTGTTGTCGTTATTCAATGTATTATGCAAGCATTGTACAGTATTGCTACATTGATAGATCCTTGCTTGATGATAGTGTAAAATTGCATGTTTATTTAATGTGCCTGCAAATACATGTTCTTCAAAAGGCAGCTTAGCTCAGTCAGCTAATCTGGTGGTACCCACTGTGTGTGTGTGCACTGAACCGTAGAGATCTTTAGGTCCCGGTTCAATTCCCATAGCTGCCTCTCCTTGTGTTTCAGCTGCAGGGCTGAAATACAAGTTCCGGTAGATTACCACCTTTCGGATGAGACGTTTAAGCCGTTGGTCCCGTGTCTAATATGGCCCATGTGCATGTTAAAGAACGCAGTACACTCTTTGGTAAAGAGTAGAGGATTGTCTCCCGGTGTACTGCCCAATTCACCACCAGAAGGATCCCGAAACAAGTCTTCAGACTGCCTGAGTTATCCTTTGTGTGATTCACACTGAAAATGCTAATCTTATCTTATTGTAAAGCCAGGCTACAGAAGGAAAAAAATTATATGCTCTACAACTAAGTATTCTAAGACCTGAAGGGGTGTTGTTATTGAAATAATCATGAATGGCCAATAAGATTAAGATACAGATTTTTGAATATTTAAAAACTGGTGGAAAAAGTTACAGTATTAGCACTTGCCTGTAGAAACCTGTTTGATCGATGACAACTAAGTATTCTTGATTATTTTTTTCCCAGTTTTAAAGTATTCAAAAATTGTTTTTCCTCAGGAGCCTGTCTTTAACACATTGCCATAAATTTGCAATGAACTACACGCCATACAGTCTCAAGAGTGCTGCCTGTGCTCATAATTATTTCTGTCCCAGTGGACGCTTGAAATATCCCCACCTCTTCTGATGCAAGCATGAAATCCGTGTTATAAGATGGCATTGTGTGAATTAGCATGCTAATGGCACCCAAGGAATAAAATAAGTAAATCATTTTCGACAGTTGCTGGAGTGGTACAAACACCAATTCCTAAATCTGATTAGGATGTTATAGCCACTGCCATAATTTTTATACCGCCTTCAAATACCAGTTTACTGTAATTCTGAAACTAATAATTTACCTTGGTATTTTATTTATATGAAATTAATGTTCTAAAATTACACATATAGCAGTTTCATATGTATTACTGTTGCTTTTATATAGGAGGAAAGACAAAATCTGTAGAACTAGAAGATGTCAAGTTCCATCAATGTGTTAGGTTGTCAAGGTTTGAAAACGACCGTACAATTTCATTCATACCGCCAGATGGGGAATTCGAACTTATGTCATACAGACTCAATACACATGTAAGTGTCTCAATGCAAACATTTAACTTCATTCATTTATTTGTCATGTTAACCCAACCAACCAACCAAATCAAGTCAGAAATCAGAATAGTTTTGTTACTAATCAGTGATGATGGCAAGGTATCAATTAAATGAGCATAGAGGGGTATTTAATTCTTGTCATTTCGGAATAGTGTAATTATTATTTTCTGCAATATATATTTTGATTTAAAACATTCTAAAGACAGTAGTTGTGGAGATTTTCTGCAAAACCTAGGGTCATATGTCAAATCTGATATTTCCGGTCAATATTGCATTAGAGCAAATAGAAACATGCATGTTCTGAACTATTTAAAGCAAAAATCAAGTTTATGTGACCACTGGTTACACAGATATCGAACCTATATTTTAACCCCTAATTTGCATATTTTAGCTAATTTGCATATGAACAGGACTACATATAACGGAGGTGCGATTTTCAGAATTTCATTTCCTCGTCCCATACACGATTTAAAAAAGAAAAATTTCAATATTATTGACGGCCATTTTGAAAAACATCCCTAAATTACACATGCGGCTTCAATGCAAGTGTCATCCAGGCTTGGGGTAACCTGATGGTGTCGATATAGACATCTGGCATGGGTGACTGCTCCCACTAATGTGATTTCTAGGCCTCTTTTCAGTTTTTTTTTCCTAGCACAAAAAATGTCTTTATATAAGGCAATTTATACTTCTGTTTTAAAGAAAACTACTTGCTCATGTCTGTTGCTTCTATTTAGCCATTAATACCTTTCTCAAACTAAGGAAATAGTTGTGAATTTCAGGTAAAGCCTTTGATTTGGATTGAATCTGTGATTGAACGACACTCGCATTCTCGTGTTGAGTACATGATCAAAGCAAAGTCTCAATTCAAACGGCGTTCAACAGCCAACAATGTTGAGATCATCATTCCAGTACCAAGTGATGCGGATTCACCGAAGTTTAAGACTTCAGTTGGTTATGCCAAATATGTTCCGGAAAATGATGCCATTGTTTGGAATATCAAGTCATTTGCTGTAAGTGCAAAATGGTTTCTTATTCATTATTAGGTTCCTTAGACTAAGCAATTGTGATGGATTGTTTCAGGAAAAGTGGCTATTAAGATTGAGTTTGTGAAGGAGTGTTGCTGTAACTGGGTAGTTGAGATGTTCCCTTTCTAACTCCAGAGTCCCAGGACAAATTGTGTCAAAAACCAGGATTTGACTCCACTCTAAAGCTGCAATCACACTGGACTTAAGAAAAAAATTTTTTACCGAGATCGTGGGTAACATTCTCTTACCGCTGTCCACACTTGGATTTATTTCAGGTTGGCAGGATCGATGACAACAAATCATGCCTTTTATTAGATCAGTTAAATTAAGCAGCAAAAAAGAAAAAAAAATCAAAATGCAAACAAAAAAAGAAAAGGACACAGGCTGAAAAACATGCTGCATGAAAAATATTTTAACCCCATGTCACGGTCAAAAAGTCAAGTGAGATTGTGGCTTAAGCACCATAAATGAATAAAACTGACTGGCACTAAAATTTTATGACAAATACTTGTGATTTGCCCATACACTGTACTGTAAAACCTCGAATAGAAGTCCCGGGCTTCTTTTTTTTTTTTTTTTTGCCACCTTTGGATGGGCTTCTTTTCGAGGCTACTTTTGCAAAGTAAAAAGCGGGGCTTCAAATTTGAGATGCGCTTCTTCTCGAGATTAAGCCCATTGGGCTTTTATTCAAGGTATTACGGTATGAGTGATATGACTCATAATAATAATAATGCTGCAGCTTTGATCTTGGTTCATTTGCATAGCGCTGCGTGCGTGTAGCTTTTTCGAGTGATCTCCTTCTCAATAATACCTCCATGGTTTGATCCTGTATTTGCAAAATCAGATGCAAAAACTGTCAAAATCATTGTTTTAATAGCCTTAAACATTTACAAATTCTGGCTTTCTGTAATGTGATTACTAATTTCATTGCATCTGTGTCACTGTTATGTATGATTTTGTAAAGATATGTTCCTAACAACAAAACCAAAGGAGTGAAAGCACATGTAACAGATTCATTTGTTTTTTGTATAATTTGGTGTAAAGTACAAATGCAAGCAAAACAAAATAAATTTATTTGCATTTCATTGCTTCTTAAAGGGTGGTAAAGAGTACTTAATGAGGGCGCATTTTAACCTGCCAAGTGTAGAATCGGAGAGCATCGAAGGACGACCACCAATCAATGTTAAATTTGAGATTCCATACTTTACGACGTCTGGTATTCAGGTAAGTTATTAAAACAACATGAATTCTTTTGCATTTTTATGAATCAACAAGGACTGCTCACCGGTCAGCGCGTTTAATGCTTCTTGTATGCACCTTTAGACGAGGCTTTTTGTTGACATGGAGGAAATATCCTCCATGTTTCAATACATTACACAGGATTTTCGGCAAGGGTTCATAATTACCATTAATTACTACAGAACAGAAAAAAAATGAAATACTAAGATGCGATTCAAACTCATGACACATCGCCATCCATGCGACGTGTCCTATTAGTGGTAATGGTAATAATATGTAGTCCTTGCTGAAACCTGTTTGTTTCGTAGTTGTATGGGGGGCACAACTTAATAAAAGGGCCATGAATGTTTTTTTGGGAATCTCCCCTAGTTTGTGTACAAAATTTCCTGCATGCTTTTAAAGTTCTGGAAACAAGAACAGCAAGAAGTGGGGTTCAGATGTCCGCCTGCGTGCGGACCTAAAAATGTTATATTAAAGTAGCAGTCATTGCATAGTTTAATGTTATTAATTTTTTTCTACAGGTGCGATACCTGAAAATTATTGAGAAGAGCGGATACCAGGCATTACCATGGGTGCGGTACATAACACAAAATGGAGACTACCAAGTGCGCGTCCAATAATCATCTTGGAAGCTAGTTTTTAAAGCCAGTTGGATCATTGTAAATCTTACAATTAATCAAGCTTAAATATATAACTGACATTTTAAATTATTGATTGGTCATAAAATAAACCAAAACCATTCAAACTTTTAATGCAACTCAGCCGTTTGCTACAGGTCAATGTTTTACATCATTTTTTTTATTTCTATTATATTTGTATCCAACTGGAAATTTAAAATCCAAATATAAAGGTCATAAGTAATTGTTCATCTTGTATCAAAAACGTGTTATTGAAATCAATGTTAGTATAAAAATTCTTAATCTTTCAATTTAAATTTTGTTTATTATAGGTTTTGAAGGTATGATTGCAAAGGTATATACATGTTATATATCTGACAAATATTAAAGAAAAAATACAGTACATTATCTACATCTTTTATTCTGAAATCACTCTTAACTTGTACTTTTTTTCACAAACACATAACCCTCCCCCTGATAGTTGGTATCTACAAACTAACATATTTTTAATGGTTGAAGAACCAGAATTTCTATTACAAATCTCAAAGTGACAATCTTCAGATAAATAAGAAGGATCCTTTTAAAGGAATACAGTACTTTGAAATTAATTAAATTAATTATCTAATTTATCATTATTCCCTTGCATTTTGAAACAGGAAACCCATAAATTTTTTCCTTAGTAAATGCAATGATAGGTAATATCTGTTCAAAGGCATTAAAGTAAATAAATTATCAACATAAGGAATACAGTGATTAAATGTTGCTCTTTAAACTGCTTTCCATAAACAATAAATGATATTGATAGTGCAATCAGTAAGAATTCTAGCAGGCCTGAACTCAATACAAAAATTCCATCGCAAAATGTACATATAAATGCTCATGAAAAAAAAAATTGAGAAAGAAAAAATTAACTAAATACAGTTTATACCATACTTTTCCTGGAATTCAAACAAAGGTTGTCTTGAGAAAAAAATTTGAACATGTAGAGCACTATAAACAATACATTAGGTGGTCCGTAAACACCCAATCAAAATCCTGGATTTAGGTGAGCCATGCAATGTAATGTATGGAATATACTCTGGACGAATAAAGCTACAATTGGCTTTATTGAAGATGACCAGTCAAAAAGGAATTTAAGGCATTTTACATAATTTTTACATGGTCATAAGTACATTCCTCTCTTTTGCATCATGAAATCAGATGACAAAAATAAGTTCACTCTCTTCACTTAATACTGTACAAGGTGCCAATCGTATACAAGCATGCAGTACGTTGGCACTGTGTCCTATGCTAGGCATTGGCGGTTTCACAAGCATCAATCCAGTCGCTGTAGACATCAACTGATTCTGACAAATCTATATTGTCTTAGTCAAGGAATGTGCACTGTTAATAACTGTATACTTTAATACTGGAAAAAAAATGAACTCAAGACCAATAAAAAGTTTATCATTACAAAGTACAGTGTCACTGGATAACTTTGAAGATACTTGGCAAGCTTTCAACTACTGTTGTGGTCTTGTTCACGCTGATGTAATCTGATCTTCATAAAATTAACCCGACACTGAAAACAGATGCAGGTAAATTTAATTTCCCCGCCATATGGAATAACATCATCAAAGAGCAGGAGGCGCCGCAGGGGCCTAACAAAGCACACTGAAGGGAACAGTTCTAATGTTAGAATAATATCAGATGACGTTCTTAAATTTAATATTAATATTATTATTACTGATATTATTATTACAATTAATAGTAATATTCTCTGTGTTATCACTCTTATTATTATCACTATTATACTAAATACACATTTTTATTGCTGCTGTTTTGATGTAATGTATCTGTGATTTCCTGTTTTTAACAACTCAAATCTTGTAATTCAGATTTATTTCTGCAAGGTACTGTTTTATGTGCAAACTATTTTAATGAAGATACCGTAATATATTTATCCAAATTTTACATTGGCTTGGGAAAAACAAAATAACCCCCTCCGAAACAAACTGATTGTTCCAGAATGACGCATGCTCTATAAACTTCTGATAATTGGCCTAGGGTCAGATGATTCTTGACAAACCATAAATAAAATTTACTGTATATGTGGCAAAGACAAGCCAAGCCAAACCTGTCACTCGTCGCAATTCGTGTTTCAGAAATAATCGCCAAAACATGCTGGAATGTCAACATTTTAAAAATCTATTTTAATGCACTAAACTAACCTTCATATATCTATACATCATGCCATGCTGTTATTTTCCCCATTTTCAATGTTAAAAAAAAATTTTTAAAGTTTTGGTGATGGTTTCTGCCTGAGAAATACCTGAAATCATACACTTTGAAGGCTGATTTCTCAAATATTGTTCTTTAAACAGCTCTATGTTTGAATACTTGTAACTTCATAAGGAAATGTCGGATTGAAATGGTTCTTTTACCATTTTATAGCTCTTATTTATAGTTTAACCCTGTATTAAATTTAACTAAAATTTTATTTTTGCAACAGAGTGACTGGTTTGGCTTGTCTTTGCCACATATAGGTTCAAACAGGTAAAATCAACAATTATTAAAGTACTGTATTATGATCATCCGATATACAGTACTGCATTTCATTTTAAGTTTGTTAGATAGAATGAAGGATACAATTTATACTGGTCTGGAAATCCTCTGCGCAAACTCTACATGTTATGATCCCTATGTTTCGCTGTCGGTCCCTGTCAATAAAATTACGCTAAAAAATAAGTATGCATGAAAATAATATATTAGCAAGGACAATTAAATTAAAAAAATAACACCACAAAGTCTACAAATCAATGCTGTTCTACTGCAATATGGAAACCTTCATTGTCGTCTACTGCAAGGGCTTTGAAGAACAATTACATACTCAATTTTGTTTTCAAATATGGTAAAGTATTATTACATTTACCATTTTCAAACAAATTCAACAAATCTCCACTGTGCATTCATGTTATACTTGAATTTAGGTTTCCTGAAAGATGACCCTCTGAAGTCCAAAGATATAAATCTAATCGGGTCCTTCTGGTGGTAAATTTGGCAGTACACCGGTAGACAATGCTCTTTTCTGAAGTGTAAGTCTTTCAAAAACAGGTCACCAGGACCTTTGTGGAGTAACCTTTCTCTACCCCATGATGCACAGTTTGATTAGTTTGAGATATTTAATGCATGTCATTAGGAACTTAGTGAAGTAAATGTCATTGTCCCTACCCCTGGATGCATAGTTAATTAATGCGGGCTATGCGGGTCACTAGGACTTTAGTGGAGCAATGGCACTACCCGAAAATGCATAGACTTTAGGACCGAGTTCTAAAAATGCTTGTTAAACTCAAATTAGATTTTAAAATTTTACAATATTATCAATAACATACCCATCAAAAATTATCAATGTATACTTATAATTACATTTAAAAGTTCATTTCATTTAAAAAAAAAAAAAGATTAAAAGTTAAAACAATTTTAATTTTTGTACTTACATTTTAACTTCACATGCTTTTTCGTGATTACAAAAGGGACATGTAAACTGATTGACGAGCCCAAGATTCTTGGCTTTTGGAGGTGGCTTGCGCTTTGATCTGCGACGTCCCATTCTTATTTACTAACAGCTCTATAATTGAAAAATATGGTAGTAATTTTAAATGTAAGCAACCAACTTCTATTCTTTTTGTATGCTTAGGAACACAAGATCGATTTAAAGGTAAGCATATAGGTTTTAGATGAGCACCTCACTAAATGAATATGGTCTCAGATCAATTAGGAATACATGAATTTCTTTATTAATAAAACTACAAGTTTTATCAGATACCATACTTTTGTCTTGGTGATCAAAATAAACAATTCCATTTAATCACTTACGCTGTCATAACCATAATATAATATATAATATAGTTATAGTCATAAGAATACTACATTGGGAAGTATTTGTGGGTTATTGTAGGATTGTGCAGAACTAATATAAACCCCCATGCCTTGGCTCAAATTTGCATGGAAAATCACCAGGAAAATAGGTGCACGGAATTGTAATTGCTGCATAATTGCATTGGTTATAGTCTATTTTTCGGCAAAATTTATGCGGAAATCGGCCCTTATTTTCCTAAATGCGCACACAGATTTCAATTCCAAATTTTTGCGCGGTGGATACATTTCCCGCACAGGACTTAACTAGGCCTATACACATACAGTATGGCCTGTTGCTGACCTTAACCTTCTTTATTATACCAAAATAATGCACGGTACAATACTGTACTCAAGAAATATTGTTAACACATTGACAATTTTTATTAAAACAACAATAAATTCAAGCCTATATTGCCAGTAAATACATTGGATGACATTTTTGTTAAACCACATACACCATTACTTATGTCCCTAGCTAGGCCTAGGCCTAGCCAAATAAAAATAGGCTAGGCTAGGCTAGGTCCAGGAGGTCTAGCATGAAGAAAATAAGTTAGTTATTAAGGCCTAGGTAAATTGAATAGACACCGAACACAGCAAGCTGCAAGAAATTCAATTTGTTAAAAAACATACAACGTAGCTAAGCCTAAAGTAAATCGATAAATATAGCTTTAGCGGTGCGAAACGTATTGAATGCGGCCATCGCGAGTTTTCTGGCCAGACATAAGGCGGCGACACGTACTGCCTTCACCGCTGGCGATACAGAGCCTAGGCCCAAGATTAATCAGATAAATACTGATGAATTATCCTAGAAAATAATTAAACTGTACATGCAACATAAAATATATGAATGACTTTCACTACCCGTGGCCAAGCACACGGCTAATAAACAAAGAAATGAAAAACTCACACGAGAATATGCTTACTGTTTAGCTTGAATTAATACAAACACAACAACGTGTTTCACAGCCCAGATGTGTATGCGGCGGACGCGAAAATCAAACATTCAATAATTGCCAGGGTCTCATAACGATTTCGCCCTTTCCAAAGATGTCATCATCGCGTTTCAAACAATTGCATCATACATATATACAGTAGTTTCAGTTCATTAAAGGTTCATCTGACATTAAAAACTTCGTATCGCCTGCGACAATATATAATATTGACAGTACGTTTAATTGTTAATCATTATATTGTAAGTACTGTAACAAGAACGTTTTGGCGGGGTTGTGGAGGAGGGAAGGGGCGACCACCAATTTTAATGTAATTTAAACTGACGATAGGCACACTAGTAGACATACACTGTAATAATAATAATAAATGGGATTGTAAGCGCAGTTCTAAAGTTAAGTCATTGTTTATACGCCATATCTTTTCTATTTTTGTTTTTGTAACTTACTGGATGCACCAACAACCATTAGGCCTAGGCCTATTATACCTCCCAGTGCCCGCCCCAACCCCCACTAAATCTTTCAAAGTTATAATGGCATAAATCATGGGCGGCGGAACCGGGGGGGGGGGGCGGTGAGGGCCGCCCCCCCCCCCATCCTTTTTATTTTATTTTTTTTATTCATTTATTATTTTATTTCATCAAAGTCCAACAGTGACTAAGTCACCCTTTACAGGATTGAAT